AATTTGCATATAGGCAAAAACGCATAAAAAACCGGTAATCATGCACCTGGATTTCCATGCGGCTCTATAATGCACCACCTTCATCCCAACTGATGCCCTTCCAACTGCGTGCCCGTAAGGATCAAAGCACGGCCGATATTAGCACAAGTTTTAGGCTACAGCATAGGGATCATTCCTGCTAATAGCTATCTGCGAGTTTAGTGCAAAAACGCATGATAGCACCGGACAACCTGGTGCTTTCCAGCCTGGGTTATATTTGCATATGCATAAAAATTGCGATGATTTATGCTAGTGAGCACACTAGGTAGGTGCAAAGCAACAACCATTCATTCAGTTAACGACTTAACTACTACAGGACTGGTGCAAAAATACATGATCGTACCGGCGAGCCTGGTGCACTTCAGTCTGGGTTTAATTCCAGAACAGAGAGTTGCAAAATACATTTCACTTTGTCCACCAAGGTGTAGAACGATTGAGGAGATTTGAAATTTTGGTGTGTTCTGCTCTAAGATCACAGATTTCCTTATACATGAATCGGAAAAACAAAGTGCCATTAACACCTAGACGTCTAAGTGCACTCATCCACTGTTTACCCATAAAACAAGATCGTTATGGCCTTCTGCTGTGCAGTCTTCTTCAAAATCATTGTCTAACTGCTGCAGTCTTCAGAGCCTGGTGCTTATCACTGCCTAAAATTTTTCAAAATTTTTCTTTGAAACTTGTTGATACTTGCAGCAATGGCTCAAGGCTGCGCAGTTGGCCTGTTTGATGGCGATGTGAGATGTTTCGATCGACCAGTCACATTACGTGGTCGAGGTGGCAATTTCCATTTGGATGCTCGCTACTGTCTGTGTGACGGCGATCTGTGCACACGTAGATCCGATACCTGGCGACAGTATGGACCGAAAAAATTCGTTGCCCAGAGATATGAAGCCGGTTAGACGTTTGTTAATTCTTGAAACATTCTGTTAAACACACGTATTATTAAATCAAAAATGTTGGAGAATTAACGAAGGTAGCAGAAACCAGGCTGAAACGCACCAGGCGGGCCCGTGCGATCATGCGTTTTTGCACAGGACTTGAAGT